TCGTAACAACTTAGTTTTTAGCACACCCTTCAAATGTAAAAATTTGAGTGCTAACCGGGTCTATGTGAACAGTACAATTTTGTTATCTGTTGAAAAATAATGCATTGTACATCTGCGGGTACCCAAGATCGCATTTCTGTTGTCTACATTATACATGGTTCATTCGACGCTTGGCAATGCATTTGTAAGTAACTGAGAACAGGCACGTTGGTGCATGCAATATATGTCATCGGCTTCACAACCACGATAAGGAGGTGGTTACCGGTGTCGCGCTCGTCCATCTAGCCGCTCCATTTTACCGGCGACGTAGGTCGGTGACCTTGGATGACCTCATATGACCTTGCATGTCATCACCTGACCTATTGAGACCTATTATGCATTAAAATATATCGCAACAGGTTTTCAGCGGAGTATTTGAATTCTGCGTCCAATATTACCTTTTAAACATGCGTATTTTGAGCTCAGCATGTGCTTTGCAAGAGGTACTCAGAGGCAGGTTATGACCTGGGTCGTGGTCAGGTGTTCTGTTGTCAGGTGGTTGTGCATGCAAGTTAAGACTCTTTTCCTCATATACAAACACCAAAGCTATACGAAAGTAGCACAGATGTGTATTATTCACGACAAAATAGCAGAAATTGACTTGATTTTAGATCACTGACGTTGTCCACAAATCTGAAATACATCAACTGTAGATACTATTTTGTCCTATTAGGACAAGTTTCAATTATGGCAAATGGTGCACACAAAAGTTGTGTGGTCAATTTTTTTTAGAAGTTGACCTCTTTGACTCGACTATATCACTAATCTTGGTAGGCCGAAACTTCATATTTACACAACGGGTGTCAAATTGATAGATAAACAGGCAATGGAAATTTCGTTTTGGTGCGAGCGTTCGTCTTTGACCTGTGCTCAAAAAGCCATAGGGGGATGTCAACTCTCGCCACCGGCCAGGCGGGGGCTTACGTGCTTGTTTTCTTCGGCAAATGCCGTAAGCCGCCTGCCTTCCGGCGGCAGGTTGCGAAGATAGGGAATTTTGTGCGGCCAGGTGCTGCCCTAACATTACTCTTCATCATTTGCAGCTGAAATACTTCAATGAAATTGCATTTAACCACGCTATCGAACATGTACGCCCACGGCGATATCTTTTTTAGTTGTGCTTGGGATTTCCTCAGTGACTGACACTGAACGATATGACGACCCACAAGACAACCCTGGTTACGACCCTGACGATCGCTACTAAATCTGGCTCGACACTGTTGCCATCAGACATTTGGACACCTTTGGGGTGAACATTTTGCCAAGACGATTGTAAGCATACATAAGCACCCCGGACTCGGATTGTCTTGTGGAGTGATAGGAACATGTGAGGGAACTGTAAATGAAACAAAAAAAATGTTAGAAGGCTGCCGATCAGCCAGTACGCTGTCAGTTTTAAAATGTACCTACCTGTGGAGGTGCACATAGCAAGACAGCCAGTCATAGCGACACGTACGCAAGTTTTGTGGTGGCTGTGCCTACGTCAGTTTAACCAACGATCAAATACGCTCGACGCAGCACGCGTGCGGCAAATCCAATTAATCGCTCACTGTCGAACTCTCCGGCCCTCGCCCAAACAATCTAGACGCACACTTCTTCGAGACGAACGCCACACTACCGGCGACACTTAAGCCGAACCCGCGGAGCGCTTCTGGGTTTGTCAAAGTTGTGCTCGCACTGACCTGCGACTCAGGTCATGTAGGGAGGCGCTGAACAAGTGCGTGTGAAAACAGAACAAAATAAGTACCAAAGACAGGATCCAACGGCGAATGAAGACCAACGAGACTAAATTTCCAAACTTGGATAAAGGTGTTTACCGAACGCTTTGATAGCTGAGCTGGAAAGGGCCAAAATACAACCATTATTACGGCAGCTTTTTCTGTCGTGTGGTTACCGTTTTGGAAGGGAATGGTACATCCATTTTACGTCAATGCGTTTGTGGGGAGTGCTTCCAGGCACTATCCAGCAATTTACATTGTACATGATACGAGAGCTGGCCATGTAACATGGAGAGTTGAAATTAAGATTCAAAATAACGAGAAAAAACAGTGTGAAATATATTAACAGCCCGACCGGTCTACCGAAGCCACCATGCGGGACGGTCCGGCCAGAGCATGGCGGGTCCAGCTTGGGAACGCCGTCGTTGAAGCGAATGTATACGTTGTTCAGGCGAGAGGACTAGGCCCCCAGATCAGCTCCATGCGGGGTGGCGAGCAGATTGACTGCGCCATCAGCAGTTTTGTATGCATACAGTTTTGTCGTACTTGCCACGCGATTTTATCACTTGGAAACTAATCCGCATAAGGACGCTGATGCAACGTCTATAGGTCTGGAATGAAATTGCATAGAAAAACACCACACGCATAACGCAAAATGGTTTCGCAAATGAGAAACCTGTTATTGTTAGGTGTGAAGTGCAGTCACTTTGAAGTAATGAATAACAAAATACAATGACTGTGAAATATTTTTTCACGTGTGAATGCCGGCTTCTATTATTTTGAAAGCATGTATATTCAAAGCATGACCCCATGCTTTGTATCAACCGCCCTTCTAGCAGTGAGCAACAGCATGCGTTTTCATCAGAAGCGCTTACTCGCAGTTACTGTCGGCAGCCGGGCGGGGACGAGGTCTGAGCTTGGGTCACATTGGACAAGCGACGCCTCTCCTGCACCACCAGCGACTACGCTGAAACATGATCACAACATTCAACCCCGCGGGTCGTTCACCAGTCGTCTTGTTAGGCTCCTCTAAAAACAAGCCCTCGAAGACCTCAGTGTGTGTGTACTGTTCACAGATACGAACCCGGAGTACCCCTCGCCCCAAATTGCCAATAACCAACGATCCTGAGAGAGTAGCTTGTTTTCATTTGCGAGGTTCTCGCTGCGCCTGTAATACATACTGCACCGAACCTAATTTTATGCTGCTGCCTCAGGTCATACCACCGGCAGGGTGCCTGCTTGGAGCGCTTCAGGCGGCCCAATATTGGGGTAATGCTCAAGTCCCGAGAATTCATCCACGAACTCAACTATTGCGCGGTTAGCCCCGGCGCCGAAGCATCTCAATAACGTCCGAATAGCGTCGTGGCATGCCCCGGCGCCAGAGCCAGGACAAAGCCGGGTCAAATCAGCCGGCGGGCGGATGATCGCCAGCCGCCGGCCATCAGTGCGCAGTCCCATTTGGCCGACCGCCGCGACGCCTGTTCCATTACGCACGGCCGGGCGGAGGACGGCCCAAGGTCACGGCGCGTCCAGCGCTCGGCGCATCCGGGCCCGGCTCCGAAGCTGTCTCATCTGTCTGTCAGGCCGACGGCCAGCCCGAGTCGTGCTGGACAACTGTCCGCCTCGGACCGAACCGTCCGCTGTGTGAAACGGAGCGGCGCCGCCGAAAATCGGAGGCAGCCGCCGCCGGCGCCGCCCAGCAGCTGGCACTGTTCCGATGCATTGCGCGGTGGGCGATGAGTTGTAAACATCCCACCAATCCCACTCCTCCCACCGCCTTTGGAAGGCTGAGAATTTGTTCAGAAAGGAAGGAGGGGATTGGTGTCGTGAAGTGAATTCGTCCCTCGATTCCATGTAGGACGGTCACGCTTTCTTTTATATTGAAAAAGTCACATGTCCGTTGCCAACAGTGATTCGTGCCGCATGGCATACTGAGTTGGGCAAAAACCACCGAATCTTTCTGGTTTTCGTAGCTATTCGATCAGCAAAAAGGGAAGTCGTACCGATCAAATAGCTTCAACCAAGTAAAACAAATGTTCACCATTGACGTGCTATGTTGCGAGTCATCTGAAGAGTTAGTCATTTCGAGAAAAAAGGTAGCCCTCGGCTGCCGGCCCCGAAGACGAACCAGAGACTACCACGTGCTCGCTGTGTACCCCAGCTCGACGCTGTCTGAGCCCGATGAATATACAATATTGGGACGCAGAGTTCTCGGGGGGCGCGACATGATGGCGTGCGCCAGTCTTGAAGATCGTTTTGATGCTTGCTGGCCTGTGTGCCGCATAGAGTGGTAGGCATCACGCACAGGAGCAGATGGAGTAGCCCACGCTTTGGTTGGCGGCCGAAGCGCTTTGCTGCTGTTGAAAGAGCTGCCTGCCACTCTGTACGGCAGACATGCGACTGTCAGTAACATGTCGAGATTGTTACATTGGTATGATGGTGTGATTTTTGACTCGTGTAGCATCATGCCTGAAATAGAAAAACGCAGGATATATTTCAATGTCTTTTTTTATTAAAACAAACGACTGAAAGCATTTTACGTGCATGCCTGGGGAAAGTGAAGGCACGCGATTTCGTAGTCACAAGCAATCGACTAACCGTCATACAAAGGCAGGCACGTCTCGTAATACGGTGTTTCAGATAAAGTTCTGTATTGCCAGCAGCTAAACTCTCCTTAATCTATCCAACCTCATTTAGGCACGTCGGGGTTTCTGGAACTAATATGCATTTACGCACATGAGCGCTAACTTGACTATCCACTACAATACTTACAGTAATACTAGCATGAACATGCGCGTAGCACACGAGGGTACGTTACAATACGTCAGTGCTTCAACATTTTTGGCATCGCTAGTGGCACCCTCCGGGTTCGTTCGCACACAGTAGGACTCTCCCTCCTCTTGAGGGGTGCACACGCATTGCGGGGTCACATATTTCACTGCATCTAACCCGGTTCCCAGTCCAGGTACACTTGCCTGCTAAGCGGCCGCTTCTCCCCCCCCCCCCCCCTTCCCTCCCTCACTCACACACAATCAAGCACATCCTCGCCACGTGAGCGTGGACAGTGAAGCCACTGCTGAGCCGGTGCCAGATCAACGCCAGCCATCCGGGACAGCCGTGACCCACCACCGACCCGAGGTCACCAGCGCCCGCCAGGGGCTGGCCAGGTCAGCGGAGCGCCGCCCGGCCGTCCCTGCCCGCCGCTGGCTCCGGCGCGGGCCGGCCGACCGCGGCCCGCTGGCGGCCTCACGAGCTCTGTTCTATCCGCCGCGGCACGGGCGCGCCGTCCTCTGGAATGGCCGAGCAGACGGTGTTAGGCGCCGGCTCCTCGCCCTCCTCCTCCTCGGTCAGGGTCGACTCGTTGGTGTAGCGGCGGCCGACGCGCGGCTGCGAGCCGACCGAACAGTCGCTGAAGCCGCTGTCGCTGCGCTCGCTGTACAGGGAGCCGCGCTTCTGCTGCAGCAGGCCGCCCGGCGCGCTCAACAGGTTGGCCTCGCGGCTGGCGCGCCGCTGCTGGCTGGCGCGCCGCGCCGGCAGGCTGGCGCTCATGCGACCCAGCGCGCGGATGGCGTTACCCGTTTTCTAGGGGTCAGAACGCCAGGCGTTAGTGGGGAGAGGTGTGACGGACGCCCGGGGCACTCCACAGGCAGTGGGAGGTGGCGTCACACACCATGCGGGATCTGCTACATCACAGACGTGATGTGTGCTTTGAGTCATACGATTAGGCGAAGCAAACGGACCATTAGAAAATAACACACAGTTGTTGCTGAGCTGTCATCACAAAAATAACAAAGCCCGAAGCGTATTTCGTTACGCTTTTGGACCAGGTCAGAACATAAAGAAGGGTGGTTAACTGTCAAGTCGTTAACAAACGGCTAAGCACCGAAACTGGGAGCATGTCCGTCATGCATGCAACACAGACAAACAAGCGTGCGCACGCACGCACAACATGGACCGTACCTGCCACTTCCTCCTGATGATGAACTTCTTGAGTTTCTCTTTGGACAGCACCGTCGCCTTTGCCCTGACCTGACCTGCTGTTAGCCAGCTATGCTGGAGGGCCTCTTCGGCGGCCATTCTCTCCCTTTCAAAGTGACAGACGAAAACCGTGAGCAGAACAAAGCGCATTGGGATACGCTGTCGCCACATCAAAATAAGAAGTCTAAATATTATCTAAGCCATGAACAAACGGCCCGGCCCGTTTCATAACGGACACTGATTGAAACCTGAGATCTCCCAAACACCAGATGCAATGTCAACGGCGCCTCGGTATCGAAGTCTCCTTTTTACATTGTGCGCGCATACATGCATATACATCAGAAGACATGTCACACACTTTGTTTTATATCTTTGCACGATAGACCCCTCCCCCCCCCCCTGAAATAATAAGATTGTTCAGCTGAGTGCGACGCACCTAGAACCTGAGTTCTACCCGCTCACCCTAGACACTATATGACTTCGTTACCACAGCGTCTTAGCATTAATCAGACACCCCAGCTCTGGAGCGCCACGCCCGGCCGCGTGCTGGTGAGCCCGCCGCAGGGAACAAGCTCGAGGCCGGCACTCACGGCTGCCGGTTCTGCAGCAGGTGTGTGATGAACTCCTTGGCCGCCTCGGACACCGCGTCGAAGGCGTCGTCCTCGAAGTCGTAGGCAGCCCGCGTGATGTTGGCAAACGTCTCGGCGTCGTTGTCGCCCATGAACGGAGACAGGCCCGACAGCCTGGGGGAGGGAGGGAGGGGGGGGGGGGGGGAAGTTCCGTTGAAGCTGAACGCACAGTGGCCTTTCCGCCCAGCATCCCCAGTCAAAGCGTAGAAACCACTCTTACGTTGGGGATTCAGTTCATACAGGTCGCCTCGCTGGACGTGACTTATCACATAGGAAGTACCAGATGGCACATGACGCAGCCAATGGCACAGTAAATGACAGAAGAAGTTGTGAGTAGCATATTGCACATGACGTATTAAGTTACACATCGTGTAATAAACGACGCACGTGCACACATTAAGTAGCAATTCACGGTATCCAGCCGACAACATCCGTGGGATGTAGCACAGCGCCACTCACAAGAGCGCAGACGTAAGGAGAGCAGCATGAGCACTCACAGGATGTAGCAGATGACGCCGAGGCTCCACATATCGCTGCGCGGACTGATGGGCTCGTAGTTGATGATCTCGGGCGGGATGAACTCGGGGGTGCCCAGCATGACCCGCGTCGGTTCGGACGCACGGTATCGACGCGCCAGGCCGAAGTCGATGATCTTGATCAGGTGCGACGACTTGGTCAGGCAGAGAATGTTCTCCGGCTGCCGGTAGACAGGCTGCCCGTCACCGTACAGTGGTGCGAGGGACTGGTGGATTGGCATGCATACTGACGACTTGGTCAGGCAGAGAATGTTCTCCGGCTGCCGGCAGACAGGCTGCCCGTCACCGTACAGTGGTGCGAGGGACTGGTGGACTGGCATGCATTCCGCCACCGCACTGGGGTTGGGATGGTTTGGTGGATTGGCGTGCGCTCTGGGATAATATGATGATGGAGACAGCTTGATTGATGAGAAAGGAGAATGACTTGTGGCGTGGTGACTTCGCAATGTCAACAGCTGGTGAGTGTGATGACAGACGCCACAAACACACATGCCTTTAGTGGTGAAATTTGTCGGCTTCAAGTAACGTGGAGCACGAAAGCACGTAACAAAGAATAGCTGACAGCACTAGGGCGATAGATTGCTTAGTAACTCGCAGTGAGCACTTGACATTTTAAGCTATATCGAATATTCACGGCATGCATACAAACCCACTATATTACATATCGCGTTGGGTTTGGGGGTGGCAGCCGCATTACACATATACTTAAACATGTATGAAGAAGGCAGCATTCAATTGCATTTGATAATTTCCTGCAGCTGAAATACATTACCTTCATGTCGAGATGCATGATGTTTAGATTGTGCATGTGTTGAACACCGCTGCATATTTGTTGCATGAAGAGAATACACTCGTGCTCCGTTAGGGTGAAGTCGTCGGCCACCACTCTCTCGAAGAGCTCTCCCCCGGAGACACTGCCGAACATAAGGTGTAGTACTCAAAATACAGCAAGGCACGGAGCGGATCCAGAAGCCACCGTTTTTGTTTACGCAAACACGACAGATGTGGAGGCATGGCAAAACAACTGTAAGACGACACAGGATCATTAGAGTTGACTAAACGTCAAGAACAATAACAAAAAAACTCCCATTGCAACTACCCCGAAAACACCCCTTTTGTAGGTATATGCGACATAAGGAATTTGTTCCTTCGCACCAAAAACTATTCATATTTCGTGATTAGGGGTACCATCTTAAGTAAAAGGTAAACAAAATACCACAGTGTGGCCCAAACAGCAGGCGGCAGCTGCAAATTAAACGATGGGCCGAGCCTACCAGTCCTGTTCAGCATTCTCTCCACCTAGTTATCTTACTATTCAAGCAGCATGATCATCTCGCGCCCGTGGTCGATGGCGGCTGCCAGCTGCAGCAGCTTGGCGTGGTCCAGCTCGTTCATGATAGCAATCTCCTCGCCCACTTTGGCTCGATCCGTCGATTTGATGCACTTGATGAACTTTGCCGCGAACCTGTTACCCGTATTTCTCTCTATCACCTGCGGGCGGGGGAGGGGGGCGTGAAGAGTGATGACGGAAGGAAATACTGTATTCCTCTTTTTGGCCATATGTGATTGTGGTATCTACACAACTAGCATCACAGCCGTCATACGACTGTGGTATCCACACAACTAGCATCATAGCAATCATTATCAAGAAGATGGTATTGTGACGACTGGAATAATGAGATATGCAGCGACGCAGCAACGAGCAATCTTCGGTATATACTATCAATCTTCAAGATGCACTGCCGCGAAACCAAGTGTAGCTTTCACAGGAGCATGTTGTGCTATCTTGGTGTTAAATTGACACCACGCTCCCCTTTGCCTCTTTTGCCGCCCGTCAGAGTACCTTATGGACAGTGCCGAATCGTCCCTTGCCCAGCTCCTCCTGAACTTCGTAAAGTGCGGCGAAGTCTACCCCCGACGCCAGCGTCACGTGACGGTGGGCGAACGGCGCCGCCACTGGAAACCGTCGACCACACGTGGTTAAACGAGGTCACGTGACGGTGGGCGAACGGCGCCGCCACTGGAAACCGTCGACTACGCATGGTTAAACGGGGTCACGGTGACGGAACATACAAACCAGGTACAATGCTCACTGCCACCGGGTAAGGAAGCAGGCCATGTGAGCTGCCAGTTCCAAAAAGAACACAATATGTTCGACAGGGCACGTTCGCTGATACTAATTCATCCACGACTTACTCATTCACATTCTTCCAAAAACGAACGAGATAAATGCAACCCCTACTGCCAATCTCGAGGCCAATCTCAGTGCACTTGTCACCAATCCAAACCCCGGTCTATCATGCCTCTCCTCCTCCCTGCGGCCAGTTACACTATCTACGTCAGTCTCCCGCGTCCAGACTCATCAATCCTATCTTCTCTCTTACTTAACCAGACCCCTCTTCCTCCCCCTCCTTGCCTCCCAAGACCTCCTCATTCCCTCCATCCTCCCATGGCCTGGCTCTCTATTCCTCTCCACCTGCCACGGCCTCCCCGCTGCTCTATCCTCCCACTAGCCAGTCTCACCGTCCCTCTCCTCCTCCTCCACCTCCTCCCGCGGCGGCCGGGCCGGTCGTTCCTCGAACGGCGGCGCCACCGCCTCGAAGCCGGGCGCGCTGCTGCCGTGCTTTGTTGACCGCCCGGACGCGGAAGCAGGGCGCCTCCGGCAGGCCGCGCGCCGAGACCACCACCGACGTGGAGCGGCAGTGGTCGACAAGCACGCGCCACCGCTGCTCGGCCTCGGTCACCTCCACCTGGTACTCGGTCACCATGCTGCCACCGTCGAACGGCGGGCCGCACCACGAGAGCGTGATGGAGCTGAGGGATTTGAGGGAGTTAAGAGGAAGCTCAGTTAGTCATGGGAGTGGTACCAGCCCACGTAGTCGTGGCATGAGGCTCGACGAGACCGGAAGTAGCGTTCGACTGACATCTAACCAGCAAACTGAAAGACGACCCCCTCCTCCCCCCCCCCCCCCCAGAATGCCGTGGGGCCAAGACAACGAACATCACTCAACAGTGGTGATGTCAGGCCCACTCGTCCAACGTGAGGACTTGGCTTGACTGCGACCGTTACCTGTCCGGCGGGAGGAAGCCAGCAAAGGCAGGGTGATGGCTGCCTCCGGCGCAGTCGGGGAGGTACTCACTCGGCACTGATGCGGCAGACGTTCGGCACGCCCGACGGTGGCTCCGGCGGCCCCTCCACCGCCAGCGACGCCCAGCATTCGTCCTCGCCGGCCCGCACCACGTACTTGCCGCTGTCGTCGGCCGTCACCTGGCGCAACGTCAGCACCGAGCCGCCAGGCGTCGCCTCGATCGTCACGCGCTCGGACGGCTGGAGTCGGCGACCCTGGCGGCCGAAAGCCAAGTCAGAGGTAAGTGGAGGTTCACTAGATGGCGCAAGTGCATGCCCTGTTCGACGAAATAATGAGCAGCTGAATTGCCTATGATTAATCCATGAATGATCGAATGAGTGAGGCATTAAAGCAGAGAATAAATTACCTAGCACCTGTGACCCGAATAATTTGCCGTTAGTAAAAGCGGTGGAATTAAATCCTGCCAGCGTGCACTGTCAGGTGCGGGCACCAGTTGACCTCCTTGTACATTAGTAGGGCTTGCAGTGATCTCGCAACTCATCCGTCCCTCTTATCCTCTATCTTGCTTCATCCTGCATCCGCGCGACACCCCGCTTGTCCGGGGCGGGCTGCATGCGTCAGCCACGAGTGGGCCGAGAGCCCCGTGGGAAGGGGGACCCCGGCCGGGTACCTGCGCATGCGCGGGTTAAAGCTCGGCGGTTGGCCCCCCAGGCGCATGCACGTCTGTCCCATCGTTAACCATTTTCATTCATCCCATAGCCCTGAAATGATCGTTTCTGGTCGAAAGGGCTCTAATCCAAAAACCAAAAACCATCTCGCAACTTCCCTATTATCCCCACTCTTGCTTCACTCTGATTCCTCGCGACACCCCGTTTGTCCGGGCAGGCTATACTCACCAGCCATGAGTGGACTTCAGTGCTCCTGGAGCCCCGTGCGAGTGCCCAGCGCAAGCCACGCATAGGGGACCCTGCACTGCCTTAAGCTCGGCGTATGGACCCCAGGTCCGTGTAGAGCTACCCCATCGTTAGTAACTCCCCCTCCCCCCCCTCCCATCCCACAGCTCTGAAGTGGTCGTGACTGGCCGAACGGGCCCTCATCCGAACAACCAAACCAAATGAACTCGCACTCAGCATTCGCATCAGAAATCAGAGTACTGCGACGCCCCGATATGGCTACCTTACTTCTGACCGGCGGCCCTTCGGTCCTCCTGCTTGTTTTGCCCGGCGCTAGCGAAAGGTTCGACACATATCTAAGGCATTCATCATACGACAACGGCTTACAGCAATTAACGCGAAAAAACATTTCACAGTTAAAACTCCACCAGCACGCTCTGAGTTCCGAGCGCGCACAGACCGTCGCGTCCATCTGCCGCTCACCGCTTTGCTCCAGACGACGGCTGGCGCCTCCATGAGGGTGTCGGTCAGTCGACACTCGAGCCGCGCCGTCTGTCCGAGCAGTACCGACAGGCTGGCCGGACCCTCGACAATCAGTCGGCGCTCGCCGACCGAGAACGGGCCCTGCTCGTCCCCGCTGCCGGCCGAGCTCGTCCGCCGCTCGTCCCCACTGCCGGCCGAGCTCGTCCGCCGCTCTTCCCCGCTGCCGGCCGAGCTCGTCCGCCGTTCGTCCCCGCTGCCAGACGGGTTAGCTCGTGGCTCGTCCCTGCTGGCGGCCGACGCTGCTCGCAGTTCGTCGGCGCTGGCGGCCGAGCTCGTTCGTCGCTCGTCACCGCTGGCGGCCGAGCTCGTTCGTCGCTCGTCGCCGCTGCAGTCGGCGGCGGTGCTGGTCGCGGCAGCCTCCTCCGGCGCCGGTGCCGAACTGCCGCCGGTGTCGGGGGTGACACGCAGCGCCACCTGCGAGTGCCAGCAGCCGGCCGGGCCGCGCACGTTGACGGCCACGGTGCCGGCGTGCTCCGCCGTCAGCCGCAACAGCTCCAGCGCGTGCCCCTCGCTTGTCCGGGACACCTGGCGGCGGGGAGGGGATGGTACTGGCCGGCCGGGCGGGCGGTTCCACAACTCGGGCGGAGCAAGTGCGGTGGGTGGTGATGTGGGCAAGGTGGGGTGGTCCAGCAAACTAAAAAGTGAGCTGCTGACTGATGTTGCAAGGATCGGGGACACAGCTCATTATTATGGGATCGTACAGTAGATTTAACTGACCATAAACAGGCGTTTATTGGATAGTACACTGCCTTGTCTTAGCTTCTTCATTGTAAGCGCATATCCGGCTGATCAGCGCCTCGTTCGTACTCTCCTTACTCCACTCAGAGGCCCTATAGGCCTTGCCAACGTCGCTAAGCCCCACTCACGAAGCAGATCAACTTCAATCTCGCTACAGACGTCAGTATCGGTACACAGCTCCACATAATCGGATGTCGCGTGTCACCTCCAGCCTGGCCTTGGCCAAATCCGCCTTGGTCACGTCAATCAAACCTCCGACGTGCATGATTGATAACGCCCATTGAAAAATGAAAGAGCCTACGACGAATGGAATTTGCCGCACAAAAAGCGAGCTCGCTATAGCGTGTCACAATAGCGCCCATGGACACCGGCCCGCCGGGCGTGTCCAGCTTTCGTGACGGTGCCTGCGGCCATAGCGAGGACACGTCCGCCGACACGGGGAAGTCGCCCGGTGGCTGACACCAGCAGCGTTTCACACCGCGGTCGTGTGCAGGCAGGCTGCTGCGACTTGTTTCATTCCACACCGCGCTCGCTCGGAAAGGTGGAAATGCATGCATGATTCACGGGAAGTGTTTTACGGGTGCGCCGGGGGTTTCCTATTCAAACGCACCAGACCAGGGTGTGACAGCGGACAGGGCCTCGTCCAGCGCTATCACCAGCTAGCGGCGAATTTGCCACACTTGGCTTAACTGAATCAGTCTATCCACATACCGGATGTGTCGAGCGTAAATAAGCACGCACGGCCGTCAAGAGAAGCGGAAGTTTTGCGCCCCAAAGTTGGACACTGGCAGCTTCGTAGGTGAAACCATATCCGTATCGAGATTCGATGCGAAATCACGCTCATGCGCGCGACTGCGCGACTGCGTCTACAACCGTACCAGCATACGTAGCACGTCCGTTACAGCCAATGTAAATTGCTATCAGGACGTAATGAAACCGCTGGTGCGCGTGTGTTTCGCCTCCCAAACCTGCTTCCGTTTGGGAAGACTTTTTATAAGAAACGATGCCAGATAAAAACGGTGGCTGCGCAGTGTCGGTTCAGGTTTTGAAATGGAAACAGCTCCACTGGCACAACGAGTGGCAAAAAATTAATCTCCAAAATCGGTCCGAGCACACAAAAAAACGGACTTCCCTTCATGAACGCGATCTTGGCGCTCGCCTGTCGCTTGCACTGTGCATTATGCAACTCACGGTCATGTGATGACTCGAGACCGCGTGTTGCAGTCAGACAATCGGTGTGCGCGGCACAGTTGCGCAGTCAGGTACTTACGTGCATTACTTCAGCAGCGATAACGAGGAAACGTATTAGTGGGATATCAGTTTGCGTGATAAGATCTAACCACTGCACTGCAAGATCTAGCCGTTTTCACTCGGAATCTCTTCCGTGTATCTGGATGCATAAGCAACATCCCCTACAGCGAACATTTGGAAGCAGATTGAAATGACTCAAATTATTTGGCGATCACGTACATTGACTGACATGAACGTAGCCATAGGTATATATATATATATATATATATATATATATATATATGTATGTATGTATCACGTGCACGAAGAGTTTAACTCCTAAAAAAATGAATGCAGACGGCACAAAATTAAGTACACAGCCAACGTATTTTCGACAGCACACATTAATTACATGGTTTGGTTTGCTTTGCCTAGAGTCGAGATCGGCCCTACTACAAATTTAGAGCATTTCAGATTTATTCGAGAAAAAAGCTATCCGGTGACAACTGGCGTAATACTGCAGCTACCCTGCCCAAATCACACACATTGCCTCATATCAGAACAGACCCTGCTTTACTATAGATGGGCTGTAAGGGTATTCAAAGAGGAGCCGGGAAACCCCGCCGTGCTATCGATGGGCTGTGCAGGTGTTCGGGCGGAGCCAGTAGACCCTATCTTACTGTAGATGGACTGTGCAGGTGTGCAGGATGGGCCAGGAGACCCCATCTTACTGTAAATGGGCTGTGCAGGTGTGCAGGAGGATCCAGGAACCCCGTCTTACTGTAAATGGGCTGTGCAGGTGTGCAGGATGGGTCAGGAGACCCCATTTTACTGTAAATGGGCTGTGCAGGTGTGCAGGAGGATCCAGGAGACCCCATCTTACAGTAGATGGGCTGCTCAGGTATTGGGGCGGAGCCCAGAGCCAAGGCAGCTTCAGGCTAAAGCCTGCCCCTGGCTAACGGCGGTGCAATCCCGGAGGGGCGATCAATGCGAGGATGCACGATCTGAAAGTGGTAGTCTACAAAACTGCAACCTTTTCTCGAAGAGAGCAAAAGTAATATCCAAAAGAGTGACACACACACACACACACACACACACACACACACACACACACACACACACACACACACACACACACACACACACACACACACGCACGCACGCACGCACGCACGCACGCACGCACGCACGCACGCACGCACGCACGCACGCACGCACGCACGCACGCACGCACGCACGCACATACGCACACACACGCACACACGCGCACAATCACGTAGACAAAAAATGAAATAATTTTAATTGTTGTCATAGTTATACATACCATAATTATATGTGGCGAAAGTGTACGTCATTAGTTGATGCATGCCACTTTGTAGAGGCGAACAAATAAAAAGCACTTCTTCGTCGGCGAAGTCTTGTGCATGCATTATTACGTATACACAACTGTTTTGAAGCTTTCCCTGATTTCGTAGAATACTAAGCCAAGTTAATGTTAAAGTTAATGTTCTCACCCAAGTGCTAAGACAAAACATAGTGCAGGATCTCGCGAGGCAAGTTTGAAAATAGGATTAAATGAGCAGTGCCAAAGAAAACCGAAATAAGGACTGGCACGACGGACAATGCACCTAGTTAATCTCTTTTCTAGAGCGATAACGAGCTTCCGTCTTCTCATCCCGTTCGCAGCATGTGTTGCATGCTTGCACGGCTTGTTACATCAGGATTGTGTCGTGTAAACCATCCGTACACCGGCAGGGCGGGGCAGCCGGTCCAGTCCTAGCTCTCGTATACTCCCCGCCTTCTGTGCGGCCGAGCTCTCTGTAGGCTGTAGCCCGGGATCCAGCACCGAGGCCGGAAAGCTGCAGTCTGGCCTGTGTTTCTCATCTCGACCGATTTGGATGTCAGTTAAATTGTCTGAACAGGGCGAAGGAGCTCAGAATGTGAACTAGAGACTCAACTTCATTCCAAACCTAACCAAAACCAAGAAGAAACATAATGGATATTCCGCGAAATGTTTTATGAATAGCCTTGGGACCACACGCACTCGAGCAAAAATAAACCATTATAAAACATTCATTCACGGCTGAAGAAAACCTGAATGACACCACAATCAGAGCGCAAATTCTGAACGCCAACTAATTCTCGCACTCACAATGAGCTCGACCAATTGGAGAAGACTGTTATTTGGAACCCTGGGATGTCTGCTTTGAAATACCTGAAATATCCAGTACATCTGGGCGCACCGCTGATCCATGGAGGTTCTCCGGGCCGGCCACGATTGGTCCGAGTCCTTGAGGGTCATTTCCGATTGGTCCCCACTGTCCGGTCTCCCTATCCGGGGTCAAATCGCGCCATAGCGTACAGTCGTGCGGAGGACGGCGTACTGATGGTGGGCAGGCGGGGACAGCGGACACATGCACGAGTACACACCGAGGTCGACCTATCGGCGCGACAGAGGACCGTATCAGGGCGTTGAGTGCCACCCCCTCCCCCCCCCCCCTCCTACACTGCCGTGAATCAGGCGGGGGTGCCGGATATGGGCACCTGTGGCGATAAGTTAAAAGGTATCGCAGCCGCAAGGCCTGGGCCCGTCGGCTGGGGCAACCTTACAACGTTGGAAATCACGAAACAGGGAGAGTCAGAACCCGCTTTCTGTTTGTAGGCTTCTGACGTTTCAGAACGGTTCACTTTCCCATCGTATACGTGCGTGACAGCCTTAAATGTTACCTTTTGCGAGGCTTGTAAACGGTCGATGACATCTTTCCATATCCATGTTTGCTGGGCAGTGAAATCCTGTGACAAGGCTACCGTCCACATATGCCGTGTTTAAGTTTATGTTTGGTTTATGAGCTGATAAAATACGGCTTATTCGGACCTGATATCTTTTATGGATACTCAACTACAGACTCAGTAAAGGTGACGTCAGATTGTTTTCCAACTGATAGAGCGTGCATTTATCCGGACAAATGATGAAAGCTGGCGGAGTAACGACGCCATAAGGATGAATACTGCTCGGTTGAGAATGCATCACATCCTGAAGTTGAAGGATTATAGGTCCAATCAAAATCAGATTGCCTCTAGGATAATGACGATCCTAAGAAAACGTGTATTACATTACGCAGCAACAATACGCTCTTTTTTGCAAGGCACTACATAATGTACATGAGTTTCAGCACACCGCGGGGAACGGCGACTCAGAGATCCACAAATTCTCGTCCGGTCATGATGGTGGAGGCTCGAGGCAAGTCTGGTGGCAGCTATCTATAGTACAGGCCAGCGTGCAGTCGAATAGAGATGTAAACCTTCCCCACTATACACGCAAACGATGCGCGGGTGGAAAACCGCAGCAGGCGCCTGGGAACAACTTTACTCAATTGCCGGGCATATTCAAAGCGATGGCCCCGCCCCTCCCCTCTCCTGTCCTCTCCACTCCTTACCACTGACCCGTATTTTATGGGCACCCACCTTGGTGTGCTCTGTGTCCAGATGTCTGACATGCTGGCCATTCAGTGTCCAGTCGACGGTGGCAACTCCTGTCGAACGCACCCACAAGCGCACGGTGGCGCCCGCCGGTGCTGACACCTCTCGGATCGGTGACGATTCCGAAGTTGCAGGCCCGTCCGCCACGCCATCCTCTGCGGAGGACGAGTTTGTCTCTACTTATGAACAGAGAAAACCGGACCAAGCAGGGAGCAGATTAAGTCTTGTAATTTGGGCGCAAAATTTCAGAGCAGAGCGCCTTGGGCGAATGAAAGTTGCTTACCATGTTAGAGTCGTTTTGAGAAAGCTGCACGCATGCTACGTGATAAAGCAATGCGGTCATGCGTCAGCATTGGCGACTTAAGAACACTTGTAAATTTAATAAAACAAGTTAAGATCTACTCAGTGTAAAGCACAAATCCGAAAAATGCATGGTACCAGCGTCAACCCTGCCACATTGTAAAAAGCACATGGTGTTACTGGGAATGTGTCATCGCATAGGGCGACGTCCACCACCTCTTCCACAGGGTCACAAGCTCGCGCACTGTCAGCACCGCCAGGCAGCTGCACGCGCGCTGACCTGTGACGGTCACGTGACCGTGTGAGACCGCCTGGCCGTGGGCGTTGGAGACCTCGCAGAAATAGAATCCCTCGTCGGCCGGGTAAATGTCGTCGATGACCAGCGCGAAATGCCCTCCGGCCATTGCGACGTGACGAAAGTCGGCGCAATCTCGGATTGTGACGTTGTTTTTGACCCAGGTGACCTCCAGAGGCTGAGAGCCTGTGAATGATTGGTACAGGTCATCGACGTCAAATAACGGGTATCGGTTAAGTAGCAGAAGTGCTAATACAGATTGAGAAGAACACTTTTTACTCAGCTCGCAGTACTTCAGTGCTATTTCAACAGCACCCAGAAGCCGTTACTGAAATGATGACCTTTGCTCACCATGGGATTACGGATTACGAAAACTTCGCATATTGATTGGATCACGTCACATATTCAGCACAGATGAATGGACGTCGAGAAAGGTGCGTACGAGTGAGATCCAACATGGCCAATATTCATAGCTACAGTTTAAGAGATCATGTGGACAGCCCCAATACCAAACTGTTACAGATCGACCAGCTTACAAGAATCTTGAGGTTGCATTCAGGCTTCCACATTCTACCTCTGACCCAAGAAGGGGCTAAGCGACCAACATCGTAATCGTACGGTACAATTTTCCTGGGAGTGCCACGTCAGGCATTCCCATATAGGCTCACCAGTGACTGTGACATCAAGTCTGACTTGTTGGCCCTCCGCCACTGTGACGTCTCGCAACGGATAGACGAATTCTGGTGGCGCCACCTCATCAACGGGTGAAGAAGCATTGTCCTCGACGAGGGCGCCACCGTCACCTAACCGAATCGGCTGGCCGCCGGGAACCAGTTCGACATCACTGGAATAGGGGGATGTCGATGTACTGCTCCGACTTCAAAACATAATATTCGCTGATGTTAGCTAATGCACGACGTGTTAAAACTTAAAAATAAAGCAAAATATCATGAAAATGCCCCAAACCCTAAAGCCGAAGATGAAATTTCCAGGTTTCCATGTTCAAAGCATTTGTCAGCCAGCAGCAATAAAAGGTCTAAATTTACACGCACCAGCACGATCATTGCAAAGAAGTGATACAAACATTACGACGTGACTATATAACAATAGCACCAGGTCACCGTCCCTGCAGCCGGCACCGGCGCGCCGGACCTGGTCTTACCAGAACCAGACGCCCGAGGCCGGGTGGGAGAGGATGTCGCCGACGCCGCCACGTCCGGAGCTGTCAGCCCTGGAGCGCGACATGCGCGAGCCGCCGAGGCCGCTGCCGGGCCGCTCCAGGCTGGGCACACCCAGAGGGCTGAGCGGGCGTGGCTTCCCTGCGGGGAGGGGGAGGGGAGGGGCGGCGCTGCAGCTCACGGCTTGACCGTACTACCGTGGCTTCACTGGCACGGTGGGCGAGCGTGAGTTATTCATCGGTCTCGTCAGGTGTCATCGATCGCGGATGCCGTGAGGTTGATGGACAAGTCGGTAAAACCAAAACAATACTGTGATATCAGGACAACTGGGAAAGCAATGGGGATATGTCGGCGTCAGGAGATTGATAGAAAACGAAACAAGCGGAGTAGGGCTCAATACGATGAAACTGCATGAAACGGAACGAAAGTGCAACAACAAAGTTTGAAAGCATTGCATTTACAGTTACCACAGTCTGGCGTAGCTAAAGCGCAACAGCGACGATTAAACCTCATATAATGTCAGTTAGCCCTGACTGGGCTATGACGTAGCGCCTCGTCTTTATCAGTTAGACAAACAAAGTCGGCAAACCCGCCATGTGACACGAAAAAATGCGCTGGTGACACACATAGCCCCGCGAAAACCCGCAGCGGAAGCTTAGCGGGTTTTCAGCTCTCCACGCAGATTCATGACGCGGTGCACCGTCACCGTTTCAAACTACGAGGAAATAGCGACGGCTTATTGACTTACAAACTGAGCTGTGTCAACACGTCATCTCCAATGCGCTACTCAAACAGCCGAACGGACGGGGACGCACCCAGAACAGAGGCTAGGATGAGGACGAGGCACACAAATCATGCGAGCTGCCGCCAACACGACACTGGAGCATACTGGGCGTGAGTCCGTCTTGTTCGGAAACACCCAGCACTTTAGAGTCTGGGTCGCCAGTCCTCCCGGCGTAGAAGAGCTCTTCACTACAAAGTCTGAACCCCTGTCCGCCTCGTATGGAAGCGCCCATCATATAGAGTCCGAACCCCTGCCCGCCCTGCATGGAAGCGCTCATTACTGCAGAGCCTGAGCCCTGCCTACTTCGTGTGAAGGCATCCATCGCTCCAGTGGAGTACTAACCGATGACGCAGAGCCGCGCGGTGGCCTGCATCCGGCCGGCGTCGTTCTGCAGGGTGACCCTATACAGGCCGGCATCTGATTTCTTCACATTTCTGATGAGGAGCAGACGCTCGTCGCCGGCCTCGGTCACTCTGCCGGTGGCGGGGGGGGGGGGGGGGGGGGGGAGGGAGTGAGGTGGCAGGAGAGGGGTTCAAACGGAGCGGAGAACAACAGCGGCATCACGTGGAGGGCACTTTCCGTACGAGGTAGACGAGAGTTAATAGGGGCCGGCGATCTCCAAATCATGTGTATCCGTTGTGCTTACTCTCGTCCCGCATTGATAAACAGCCGGAACGAAAGCGTTGTCATTTGATTATACAATCGGCTATTCAGTGACTGGCACCTGCATCTTAATTTTTAACTCACAGCGGTATTCAATCACTTTGCGTCCCAGGCTTACAATGACACTAAATTAAACATCCATTGTGATTAGCCCTCGTCACTTCACAGTCAGTTTATGCTGGATATCAACACTCGCTCCTGCAAGCACTCTGCAATTAATCACGGCACAATAGGTGCAAATATTGACAAAGTATCAACAAGGACGATACTGACCGCGCGAGGGTGGGAGGAGGAAGAGGGTGGAAGGAAAGAGAGATGTAGGCAGAGAGAGAGAGAGAGAGAGAGAGAGAGAGAGAGAGAGAGAGAGAGAGAGAGAGAGAGAGAGAGAGAGAGAGAGAGAGAGAGAGAGAGAGAGAGAGGGAGAGGAGAGGGAGAGGGAGAGGGAGAGGGAGAGGGAGAGAGAGAGAGGAGAGAGAGGAGAGGAGAGGAGAGAGAGAGAGAGAGAGAGAGGAGAGAGAGAGAGAGAGAGGAGAGAGAGAGAGAGAGAGAGAGAGAGAAGAGAGAGAGAGAGAGGAGAGAGAGAGAGAGAGAGAAGAGAGAGAGAGAGAGAGAGAGAGAGAGAGAAGAGAGAGAGAGAGAGAGAAGAGAGA